ACTCAAGATAGATGAAAGACCTAAATGTAAAAGTTAAAACTACAAAACTCTCAGAAGAAACCATAGGGAAAAGCTTCGAGACATTGGATTAGGCAATGACCTCTTGGCTAAGCCATCCAAAGCACAAGCGACGAAAGGAAAAATAAACAATTTGGCATTCATTAAAATTAAAAACTTGTGTATCAAAGGACACTATCAAGAGAGTGTAAAGGCAACCACTGGAATGGGAGAAAATATTTGTAAATCATATAGCTGATGAGAGATTGGTGTCCAGAGTATATAAAGAACTCCTATAAGTTAAAAACAGCAAAACAAACAAACAGATAACCCAATTAAAAAACAAAGAACTTGAGCCCTGGCCAGTTTGGCTCAGTGGTTGGAATGTCGGCCTGCGGACCAGAGAGTCCTGGGTTCGGTTCCTGCTACAGGCACATACCAAAAATAAAACAAAAAACAAAATCAAAGAACTCGAATAGACGTTTCTCCAAAGAAGATATACAAATGGCCAATAAGTACATGAAAAGATGCTCAACCTCACTAGACATTAGGAAAATGCAAATCAAAACCATAATGAGATAGTACTTTACACACATTTGGATGACTATTATCCAAAATAATAATAATAATAAAAGAAAGAAAGAAAGAAAGAAAGAAAGAAAGAAAGAAAGAAAGAAAGAAAGAGAGAGAGAGAAAGAAGAAGAAGAGGGAGAGAGATGAGGAGAAGGAGGGGAAAAAGGAAAAAAAAAATGTTGGCAAGAACATGGAGAAATTGGGATCCGTGTGCATTGCTGGTGGGAATGTAAAATGATGCAGCCACTGTAGAAAACAGTACGGCAATTCCTCAAAACCTTAAATGTAAAATCACCATACTATCAAGCAATTCCACTTGGGGAGATTCCCATCAGAAGTGAAAGCAGAGACTCGAAGAGATACTTGTACACTCATGTCCATAGCAGCGTTATTCACAACAGCCAAAAGGTAGAAGAAACCCAAATGCCCACCAATGGATGAATGGATAAGCAAAATGTGGTATATACATGCAATAAAATTTGACACAGGTTACAACTTAGAAGAACCTTGAAGACATCATGCTAAGTGAAATAAGACTGTCACAAAGGACAGATGTGTTTCTTCTTGTATGATGTAATGAGTATTCCAGTGATAGAGCAGGGAAGTAGAATGGGGGTAACCAGGAGCTGGGGGAGGAGAGGAAACGGGGAGCTATTGTCGAATGGATTACAGAGTTGGGGAGATGAAGTTCTGGAGATGGACATGGTGATGGTAGCACAGCAATCTGAATGTGTTTCACATCACAAAAGTATACGCTTACAGTGTTAGAATGGGAAATTTTATGTTACATATATTTTGCCACAATAAAAAAGTTGAACTTACTAAGAAATCATATTTTGATTTACAGCTAAAACTGTGTGATGGATGCTGTGCTAAGCTCCCAGATGCCGCTGTCAGCACTGGGAGCACAGTCTCCTGGATGCTGGGGTGCTCTCAGCTGGTCGCCTTCAGACGCCGTCCTTGGCTGGGCTGCAAAGAGCTTCCTGGAGGTCAGGGTCCAGTCCCAGGGCAGCTGGGATCCGATGACTCTTCAATGCGAGGATATCACAACCGTTTTCCAATCCCAAGGGGCTGACCCAAGCTTTCTGTGCCCACACTGCAGCCCAACCTCCCTCTTTCCAACCTTTATTTCCAGCTTCCTAAAAAACAAAAAGAGGAAGGGAGGGGAGGGGAGGGGAGGGGAGGAAAAGAAAAAGGGAGAGAGACAGGATAAAAAGACAGAACCTCTTTCTGGATTCTTTACTTCCACCTACTAGAAAAATTGCCATCACAACTATATAAACATTTGATGAGTGGGATTTGAAGGGCACCCTGGTGCAGCACACAGCTGGCACAGAGAAGCAGTGGGCCTGTGTTGACCCCTGTCTCACTCCTCTGCTTTGGGGATCCCCAGCACCATTCACCAGGGTCCTTTGCTGAGCCTCCAAGTAGCCTTAACTAGCACCGGAGCCAGCCTTGAACAGGACGGGAAATGTGGGTTTCCTGGGTCCCACCACCAGAACTCAGCTCCCTAGAGACTTTCCCTCTTCAGCTCTTCGGTCATGCCTCCTGGTCCCAACACTTTCCTGAGTTACGCTCAGCTCTTTGAGCACCTCTCTGTATCCTAGTGGCTCCTCACCCCAGGTCACTGTCTCTTGTTTTGATCTTAAGCTGCTGGGTTTTCCATAATGCATTTCACTTGTGTCACATATGAAGCAAGGTTCCTGGGAAAACTCTGAGCTCTGGGATCAGGCCTGGGGTGTTCTTTTCAACACCAACAAGGAAGAAGCCCTGATTGGTGAAAAATATCGGCGAGGGCACTTGACCCAAGTTCATTTTTCAAGTAGTTTAAATCAGACCATAAGGTTGTGGTGGTGGTGCGTGGAGAGTTAGCTCCCGATTCAATTTACTTTATAGCATAACAATAAAATTCTCACATTAAAAGAGAAGAGAGAAAAGCCTTCAGGCCTCCTTCCCTCTCATGCTTGCCTTCTTGTCCTTGTCATTATCACACTGCTCCTCAAAAGAGTGGTCTAACCCCCCCTTTCTCTTTCCTGGCCAAGTTACCCCTTTGGTCCGGGACAGCGGTGTCCTCCTTCCCCCCAGACTGCGAGCTGCCCTCTCAGAGACCACCGATGGCTCTCCAATGATCAAATCCAGGAAACCTGTAAATCATCATCTTATGTGACCTCTTCAAAACTTTCTTTTCCTGTAGATTTGGTCATTTTAATGTTTCAATTTCTTTCTAATTCTCTGACCATATTTTCACTATTGCGTTGGCAATTTCTTCTGCTTAGAGGTTAAACACCGATGTTCTCTGGGGTCCCTTCTATCTGCCTGTCTTCTGCACGTCCCCACTGGATGTCCCCTGAAAATCCCGGAATTAAAGTGTCCAGAGAGAGACAAAGAGAGGGGAAATGCAGGCAACTGAAGCGAGATAAAATTTCCACATTTGCCCGCATTGAAAACCTAAAAATGGGGAAGTTTGGGGAGAAAAATAGTTAGAATTTTTAATTCTACTCACGTGGGCTATAAGAACAGAGGTTTTCAGAGAAAGGTATGTTTCTCACTTATGGTGAAAATTAGAAATAGGTTAGAAAAAATGTTCTAACTGTTTTGGGTATCCCCACCTTCGCTCCTTTCCTTCCCCTCAAGCCTGTTCTCGGCATTTTCCCTGCTTTCAAAACCTCTTCCTCAGCAGAGTCCACCACTTAGCCACATAAGTTTGTAAGGCTTAATAAGGTAATTTTACATTCTAGCAGAAGCTCACATCTGAAGCCAAAGATGCTTAAATACAGAAGCCATCTTTTAAAAATGTATATAATCCAGTGTACAAAGCACAGGGCTAAACATAGTATTATTCAATAAATATTTATTGAAAAATGTTCAAAAAGCATTAATTATATTACCAAACTCTGGAAACAATCTAAATATCCAACAATGGGGAAGCATAACCATTGATATGAAGAAATATCACACAGCTATAAAAAGATTTCAAAACCCTTTTTACTGGTCTCGGGAAATGCTTATAAGGAAATATCGGGGAAAATAAACAGGATTCAAATTTCTACTATACTGTGAATTATACAAATCATATTCATATACAGAAGACTGAAAAAATCTATGGGTATCTCTGGTATCTGTGGGATTTGGAATTTTAGTTCCTTCTTTCTACTTTTCTGTATTTATGAGTATTTATAACTGGTATGAGAGAAGTGTTACAAAAGTAAACCTTGTGGAAGATTGATTTGCAAGAAGTCCCCTTCAGGGGCTGTGGACGTCAGTGTGTGGCCTGCCTGGTCTAGTACATGGGGAGGGATGCCAGGCGCAGCCGCGTCAGAGGCTGGCTGTCCAAAGAGGGGTACAGCGCGGAGAGCCTGTCCCTTAAAGAAGAAGTGAGTGTGTGGTGGTGTTGGTGCACTGGTGCTTGGTAGGTGGGCTCACCTCCAGCAGGCTTCACTGTGCCAGGCCAAGGGGCTGTCCCAGTCTGTACAACACTTGAGGTCCTGAGTCTCCTTCACTGTTTGTTCCCTAAACCCCCAAGCCTTGCTCAGGTGCTGAGACATGCTTATTTTCACCCTCTTCTGTCCAAATCACAGCTGCAAGATTAATGGGAAGCCTGCGTGTGGTGCCTCAGTGATATTCTACGTTAATATCTTTAAGAACTGAGGTTGGGTGCCCAAAATATTCTTTAACGTGGTGCCTATACCATAAAACTACACGAAAAAGGCTTGGTGGTCCTTATGAAGAGAACACAGATTTCAACATTTATAAACAAACGAGAAATTCCTTAGAAATATCTGTGTTTTCTTCTAACTGAAGTTGCTCCCAGCCCTCCCTGGGCTCTGTTGCTTCTCCGCGGGAGAGCAAACTCCACAGCCAGTGCAAACAAACACACAAACACACAAACAAAACCCGCAACAGCGTCCTTGCTCCTCTCCCAATTTCTAATTTCATGCTCCTAAAAAATACTAAGTCCTAGACTTTCCTTGTGTTTCACGGATCTTAGGATCTAATGGAGAGATTCGACAACTTTGAAAACCTAACCAAACCTACAATTTTGTTTTTATTATTTGCTAGTTATTAAAATATACAGCCTCTTCATTAAGAACAGCTGGATGGCAGGAGGGACCGCAGAGACGTGGGGGAGAAGTGTGGGGAAAAAAACAACAAAAAAACCCCAGCTCTGCCTGTAGGACTGCTTGCGAAAGAGCCCGCTTCCTCCGACCGGCTGCTCCAGGCCGCGTTTTGCAGGCGGCCGCATCTGCCTCCCCTGTCTCTCTTACCTCCTTGATGTTCGGCACTATTTGTGGCCGGCGTGGTGGAAGGACACAGTGAGGTTCTCACCCCCGCCCTCCGCCCCCCGCTCCCCGCTCCCAGTCCCCAGTTCCATCAAAGCGAAGCGGGGCCAGCGCAAGGATCTCCGAGTTGCGAGTGTGCTGAGGCTGGGACTGTCACTCATTCTCCGCTCAGCGCGTGAACGCAGCTCGGCAGCCGCTGGCAGGAAACAATTCTGCAAAAATAATCATACTCAGCCTGGCAATTGTCTGCCTCTAGGTCTGTTGCTCCAACGCCGTCCACACTCGCTGCAAGGAGGTGGGGCACAGAATTCACCGCGGCACGAACACCCTTCCCAGCCAGCAGATTACAATGCTGCAAACTAAGAATCTCATCTGGACTTTGTTTTTCCTGGGAACCGCAGGTACATTTAAAAAATTCTTCTTAATCTGATTTGATAAGTGCCTTCTTCTCCCTACTACCCCCACCCCCGGACGCGGTCATTTCGGGTGATTTTACGGAGAATGCTAAGGGTGGTCATTTTCATGGAGCTGAAGAAGGAGCGCGTCGCCCTTGCTGTCCCGCCGAACCCCGCGCCCTCCCGGGCTTCGGGGGACTCGGGCTGCCTCCCCGCGCAGCGAGCGCCCGGCGCCCCTCCAGCGCGCCCGCCCTTCCTACTTAGTGTGCCGGGGAGCTGGAAGCGGAGCTGCCTGCCCCCGGCGACGCTGTGCCCGCTCGGTGATGGGCAGCGCTCCTTCCCGAAGGCGGGCGGCAGGGGATGCCGGGGCTCAGCGGTGCCACCGCACAGGCTCGGATTCCGCTGGGCAGGGGCTTGTCAGCTCGAGCTCCGGGAAGAGTGAACAATAAAGCTGGGGGGATAGCCACCTCGATCGTCATCGTTATTTCCCCAGATCTAATAAAGTGAGGCTCGCCGCCTTCCCATCCACCCCCTCCGGGGGTCGAATAACGGTTTGCAAAATGGGGCGACCTGGGCAGAATCTCGGGGCTGTGTGGCTGTTTTTGCAACCCCGTCGACATGACGTTAGTTTTTTATTTGCAAATTGCTGGTTGGTTGCAAAGCCTGCTTTTGCCCCAGAGCTCGAAGGGATGGGAGGGTCGAGCGCGGCGTTTTGACAGGAGGAAGTGCGGAGGGGCGGAGGGCGAGGAGGGCGTGATCCAGGCTGCCTAGTTTGTGCGCGCGTGTGCCTTTACACGCACCGAGAGCCTTGTGTTCCACGGTGCAAGAGAAGAATGGCAGGTAGCCACCCGAAACGCCTCGCCCCAGTCTCCTTTCTTTGGGCGAGGTTCCTGATCCTTTCAAAGTGCGAACAATAGGGAGCTGGGAGGAAGACAGTAGTGATGCTGCCACGGGTGGTGGGGGCTACGTCGCCGCCAAGCGAATCTCCGAGGCCAGGAGGAAGATTCGTTTCATTTTGGGTGTTTCCATCCCGGCCTCCCTGGAAGATTCTTGTGTGCATGCCCACCCTCCCCTCCAGCTGCTTCCCCACCCCACCCCGCCCTACCCCAGAATTTGCGCTTTGGTGCCGACGGACGGGAAGAGGGAAGAAAAGGAGCAGGGACCGCAGAGAGCTGGGTGGGGTGGGCGGACTTTCTGGGCGGGGGGCGTGTGCTGGGCAGTACCCAGGACAGCCGGGCGGAGGGGGCTGTACGTCGCGGTCGCAGCTGCCAGGTGCCGCCGGAGCTGCCCTGAGACGGCCCAGCCCGGCTGGGGGAGCGCGCGGGGCAGGCCTGGGAGCACCCAGCACGCCCCCTCCCCGGCCCGCAGGGGAGCAGCGCTCGGCCGCCGCCTCCAGCCTCCGGGTGCCTCCCATGGCGACCAATCAGAGCGAGGCTGGCTGGGCGGGAAGCCGCGAGAGGCTTTTATTGCGGCACGGGTGGCGGCCGGGAGCTGCCAGGACGGGCTCCCGGTGTTCCAGCCTGACGGTCTCGTTCGTCCCCTGCTGGAGGTACCCCACCCTGCGGCCCGCACCCAGCCTCCCCGCAGTTGCCGAGCAAATAAAATGGAGTCTAGGTGGTCACTGGGAGGTGCTCGCTCCCTCGCGCTTCTTTCACGCCGAATTGGAGCATCTCTGCCGCCCCCGCCAGCGAACACATTCGCGCTGCATCGCTCTGGCCCGAGCGCGTCGCCTTGGAGGGCGCGGTGGCAGGGCCGACAGACGCGCGTGCGCTGACCGGCCAGCCCGGGCCTCCGAAGCTGGGGGCGGGGCGGGGCGGGGCGGGGGCGAAGGGGCCCCAGCAGGAGGCCAACCCCAGCTCTCCAGGGGCTTTGGTCCCCGCAGCCACTGATTGGGGGCTGCTCTGGGCATGCCCTTTTCGGTAGTGACCGTGGGTCAGCGTGGCGTGACCTCCGGAAGAAGGGGGGTGTTTCTGGGACCTCCTCCCTTATAGGTGGGGACGTGACAATGGAGCCCTAATCTTCGGTAGGCTCTTGGGGGATCGCCTGGCAGTTCTTTCCATCATGGCGATGGGTGTAACCCTCAGTGTTTGGATCCCCAGGGAGTGGCAGGGGTACACGCCCAGGGAATTCCAGGTTAGGATGTTCTCCGCTGCTGAGCCCAGGGTGACCCTGAAAGGAAGGTGTCCTCCTTCCGGACCCAAGGACCGGAGTATGGGAAGAAGGCAGAACGTGAAACACAGACAAGGTTGCTTAACAAAAGGAATAAGTTGAGCGGTTTTCCGAAGAGAAATTCTTATTGTTTCTACTATAGTTGTTTTGTTTTTTTTTTAATTGAAGAATCCAGTCAAAGGGTCAGTACAAAAATAAAAACAATTCACACACGCACACGCACACATTTGGCTTCAAATGTATCTCCAGGGACAATGGTAATTCAGTCTATCTCCACTTGGTGCATTTGACACTAGCTATAAGGTGTGCCAACTTAATATGCCAAAAATCAGGTCTGCTGCCCCTCTCTTATTTTGGTGTCTTCTGCTCTTTAGGAATAAAGTGAAAGGTTGTGGAATCACAGCAGTTCTGGATGTTCTGTGGAAAATTATTTAACCGAATGATCTGGAAGGTTAAGTCATATGTTTCTTTGATAATTTTACAGTCCTCTGCCAATATAATTTGCACGAGTCAAGGAATGGATAGCACTGGTTTTCTGACAAGGTAGTAGCAGAATAAGAACAAAGAGCACCTGTGCTATCTCACAAACGCTAGCTAGTGTGTATATGTATAGAGTATATATAATGCCCTTTGCCAAACAAAGATGTTTCAGCAAAGGTTGCAGTGAGCACAATTACAGTGAGCCTATATTTTGCTCATTGATATTCATTTTAAGATCAGAAATACGGCTTTTTGAACAAAATTTAACGGAATGCAATAAAGCCATATTTACGAATGTGGAAAACCTTTCACAACTCTATCCAAAAAACAAAACGTTTATTTTCCTTTTTGGTACCTGCCCCTAGCGGGAACCGAACCGGGCACTCTCTGGTCCGCAGGCCTACGCTCCAACCGCTGAGCCAAACCGGCCAGGGCAAAAGTTTATTTTCTTTCAGCAAATATTAGCATCTATTAAAATATCAAAAATAACTTATACTTTATTTAAAATGCAGCAGAGAGCCCTGGCATGTTTGGCTCAGCGGTTAGAGCGACAGTCTGTGGTCCAGAGAGACCCAGGTTTGGTTCCCGCTAAGGGCATGTACCTCAGTTGCAGTTTGTCCCCGGCCCTGGTTGTGTCCCTTTAATGTCGCTGTTTCTCTCTCTCTCTCTCTCTCTCTCTCTCCCTCCCTCCCTCCCTCCCACTCTATCTGAACAGAATATGGAAAATTGTCCTCGAGTGAGGATAAAAAAATAATAATAATAAAATGTAGCAGAGTTAAACAGAGAATATAATCCAGTGGAAGTGTGGCCTGTCTTCTATTTAATAGTTTTTGAGTTACTCTTCCCACTACAAAGGTTCTAAAGATGTACTAATTGGACTAAGTTTTCATTAGTCTAAAACTTAGTGTTTGTTTGTTTTTAAATCCTCACCCAAGGATACGTTTACTGATTTTAGAGAGAGAGGAAGGGGGAGAGAGAAAGAGAAACATTGATGGGTTGCCACCCTATGAGCCCAAACAGATTCAACCTGCAACCTATGTGTATGCCTTGTCCAGGAGTTGAACAGTGAACCTTCTTGGTGTGCGGGATGACACCCAACCAACTGAGCCAGCCCTCCAGAGCTGAATCCTTGTTTTTAAGAAGCTCTCCCCTCCTTCCTCCTGTAGATTGAACCTGTTGACTTCTTTCCAAATACCTTTACCCAGGATCTATTAAAAAATATAAATAAGTAAAAATGCTAGAATAGCAGAAAATAGCAGGTCATTTTCCTGAAGAGATTCATTCAAGGCTCTATGCTAATTAATGGAACTAAAGACTTGTTGATTTAACTAGTGACTCTTTCTTGAGCTTGGTAGTTCAAGAATTAAGGTAGTAATTGTTTGCAAAAGAGGAATGATGGTGTGAATGTGCTCTCACAAGGGCCCTCTTTGGGTGCTTACCCAAAGCAGCAAGAAGAGGGAGAAATCAGTCACATGGAAGCCCCCCTTCTAAGACTTTTGCATAGTACTTCTCTTTGGAATATATTTATCATTAAATTTCAGATAGGTAACATGTAATTTAATGTAAGTGAACTTTATGTATATATTTCTGTCACCGGAAACATCATCTTAATTGCCTTTCAAATAAATAGCACCATTTTCTCATTCAAAAACGAATCATTAGACATGACAGATGTTTTTGTTTGCTACAGAACTCAGTTTCTTAAATTATAGACAGCATCTTGTAAACTTCACGCTGCTTGCAATACGGATTTTGGTATTTCTGATCCAACCACTTCCTTCTTTAAGGCAACAAAGCCTCTATTTAATATTAGTGTGATGAATTCCCCATATTTACATCTTCAGTGTTAAAGAACCATGGCTGCTATCCAGACTGAAAGTGACTTCAATGCCACTGGCCAATCTCCAAAGATATTTTACAGACAGTCTTTCCTGCCTTAGTGCAAAGTAAGTGATTGACTACCTGTTGCTAAAGAACAGTTTGAACTTTCTCTGCCAATATTGGTTTTGTGGTGATGGAGACAGAACCAATTGCCAGGGAGGGAGGGGACGGGCCGCACCTGCCGCTGCCAGTCTTCTGGGAGCAGTCAGCCTGGGAGGAGACAAAGGCATGTGCAAAGATTCTCCTGTACTCTTTAAGTATCCCATTTTTGAGTACACAGATATTTTATGGTGTCAAAATAAATAGTTTAATGGAAATTCCGTAATTGATTATTTTTACTTTAGTAATCTAAGAAATATATAGGCTAAGAAACACCCGAAACTTTAAAAGAAATGACAGCAAATTACAAATAGCGGTTTGCTAGTTTTAAAACCGGGTTACAGAATTGAACACACGAATCAGCTGGATATATAATA